CCACAAGTATAATGTTGAGGTATGCCCAGAAAAAACGTTTATAGCCCCGGCCTGTATTAGAGACCGGCCATTATTTACCTCCTCTGACAGCGAGACCGGCCATTATTAGAGACCCGGCCGCTATTTGAATACAGGCCAATATTAGAGAATTTACGGTATATATCTGACCAAATGGAACCTTCCGTAAATCTTTGATTTGCTTTGGCTAAAACATTTTGAATTATATATATATTTTTTTTTTTGGAAACATAATGTTGAACCATAAAGAAATCCCACATGTAATTATTTAGTGATAAGGGAAAAAGGCACTTATTTTAACCACTGGTCACTACACTGGTCAAAAGCCGTTCCTTATACTGTATTTTCACCATGTGCAGTGTACAGTACAGGGAGGAAAGAGTTTGCTATTATGAAAAAGAAAAAATCCACATTATTTCGATTTCTTTAAAGCACTCTGTACCAACATTTGTCCCTCAAAGGCAAATAAAACTGTTGTTTAAATAATTTTCCATTTGGAATATATTCCATCTATTTTCCGTCACACTTATCCCAAGTGGGGTCATGAGGGGTGCTGGTGCCATTTGTCCAGCTGTGAGTGGAAGAGAAGAGGGTTACACCCTGGACAGGTTGCCAGTCCATCTCAGGGCAACACAGAGAAAAAAAGAGGAAAAAACAACCATGCACTCACACCTGGAGGAAGCCAGAGTATCCAGAGAGAACCCATACATGCTCAGGGAAAACATGCAAACTCCATGCAGAAAGACCCGGAGCCGGTAATTGAACCCAGAACCTTTTTGCTGCAAGGCAGCAGCGCTACCCAATGCATCACTGACTGTTTCTGAACAGGATATTGATAATTATGATTAAGAATATTAAATTAATTTATGGAACACAGCAACTTAAAACAACCTGGCCAAATGTCAAATATGTGTGACTTACACACAAACTCTGAAAACATGAAATAGGCTTCAATATGTCAAAAGGTAACATATCTTACCCTGATGATCAGCAACAAGTTCAGAAATAAATAAAAAAAGTTCCATTTGTTTAATCTGGAAACAGTTACAAAGCATTTTTAAGACTTCTGGCCTTCAGAGAAACACAAATGGAGAACAGATGGAAAATCGCTAAAACTACCCAAATCTGGATAAAATAAATCTCCAGCACAGATTCAGTAATGAGCTCATCCAAAAGGTTAAGAGGGAAGCCACAAAAACATTTTAATTCTCGACGGATCAAACTTTGAGGTCAGAGTTTAAATAATAATAAATAATTCAACAGTAAGAAGGAGACCAAGCAAAGATCGGTTTCATGGGAAAGCTCTTAGTTGAAAACTATTTACCAACTTGTGGCTGTTACTTGATCTAGGAATCCATTCCTCCAAAAAAATAAAAAAAAACTTAAAAAAAACTTTAGTTCAAGGTCCACCATCTGATCCACCACTGATTAGCACAAAAACACAATATGAAAGTGGCCTTTTAAAAGTCAAACATGAAAACAATCACTGTGCATTGGAAAGACCATTGTATTTAAGCTTTTTACAAATACAGATAGTTTGGATAAGTCCTTTTTTTTCCCTTTTTTTTTTTTACATTTCTCAAACCGAAAAGTTATTTTTGAAAACTGCACTTTTTAGTGAGGTTATTGTTGTCTGATATTTATTTCTCTATATTTATATAAAATATGGACAACAAATGAAGAAAATACATGAATATGTATGGAAGTTAATACAGTACCTGAACAAGGTATCAACCAAGTGGTGAATAAATGTTTTGTTTAATTTAATTGTAATTTTTAATCTCATCAGTATGACTGTCTGCTTGTTCTTATTGTGATATTAGATGAATAAATTATATACCTCCTTTTAAAATTGCATAGCTTGCCTAAATGTTAAGATAAAATCATTAATAATACTGAAGCAGAGCAGTGGATAAAGTGGATATCAGGCCAACTTTGCGTCACGGTTCTGTGCGATCCCTTACTAAATGCGAGTTGTTTTCAGTGTCCTTATTTGGGACTGTTGGCCTAGTAGTAAGAGAAGTGCGCTTGTGCTCTGAGAAGGTTGCAAGTACCCAGTTTGAAACCCAAAGCCTGCACTCTGGGTTCCTGAGCAAGATCCTTAACCCCACACTGCTCTCCGGGCACTGCACAGCGGCAGCCCACTGCTTCCCAAAGGGATTGGTTAAATGCAGAGGTGAATTTCTCCAGTGTGAGATTAATTAAGTTGAATTAGTAAACTCACTTTAAGGTCTTTTTATCATCAGCTAAGATCATTCTTCTTATTAGAATTATCTTTTGCCATACATGAATCTGACGGTTAGTGTGAAAGTGTGAGACCATACTTGTTTCCAGCTTCACACCTAAAAATGAACACTGACATGACCTTTTTAAG